ATCGAATTCTCTTAAAATAATAGCTTATGAATTGGCATTTAAAGTTCAACTAATTCACCCCTATTTTCGTCATCTGGTAAGAGATAGCTACTAATTTTGCAAGTATAGCAAGTCATAAGTACATCTTTATAATATATAATGGCGTTTTCACAATTGATCAAGATAAGGTTCCATATCCCTGTTTATAAGCAAATGCATTATATCCTATTGCAGTATTATAACTACTTCTCATACTCTAGACTTTACTTAGAACCTTGAAAATAAGATGGTAAAGAGTGAAGGTTCTGAAAAACTCCATTTTCCTCGGTTAGTTAATAAGGAGAAAATAACAGTGAAGTTAATGAGCATTTATATGGAGTTGTCAAATTCTACACCTCTACGTCATTTGCAATCATTATTTTTTCTATGGAGATTATGTCATTCATTCTTGTTAATCTGAAAACATTCCACAAGAGTTTTGAACTTAATCGTATTGGTATTTCTGCCATTGGTCCTTTGACACCTCTAAATCCAAGTTTCAAAGAGAACTGAAGTCAGGTAATGTGAAATTTTCATGCATAATACCAAGAATCACAAATGAAAAATCATACAACTTATTCACAAATCCCAAAACATTCGAAGTTTCAAACTACTGGCAAGAAACTGAGAAGGTAGCACAGGTTAAAGTAAGAAAGCGAACCTTGTGCCAGGAATCACCCCAGTCACCTGACTCACCTCCGTTGGATTTGCTCAAGATTTATCAAAAGATTTATTTGCACCACTTCGTGAACGGTGAACCACAGGCCAAGATTGAAGATCCCAGCGGGTTGAACTTTGAAGCTATTTTGAGTTAGGGCTTGGGGCTGTATATGATCTCGTTTTTCAATTTAAACTGGTCTTGTTTTTTTATATAAAAAAAATAAATAAATTGGACCAAAACGAGGCCCCCTATGGTCCTGGGCCTGAGGCGCGGGCCTCACTCGCCTCAGCCCAGGATCGGCCCTGACTTCAGGCTCCAAAACAGAGTGTTGATGAAAAAATTCCAATCTTTTTCGCCCCTTTTTGGCCTAAATCGATCCATCTACGGGGACGAATTTAGGGAATTGAAATTTGCTATTTCTGGAGTATAAGTTTCTCCTTCCAAACAATCTGACAGAATTATCTTAACGTAATTTTGTATAGCGTAACAACACGATCAACAAGATCAAAAAATTAAATACGAGCCCACCGATTTTATGATGTTTCTTTCAAACGAAATTGCTCCCTCCAACGGTGCTAAAAGCGTGCAGCAATCGTTTCCTAGAATAGAATGAATTATGTCTCCGACGAAAGTAGTACATCAATCTGTAGGAGTTCTAACGAATGCAATGAAGTGTTCACTTCGAAAATAATATCAGAATGAGAGAGGGAGAATGAGATTCAATGACGAGAAATGGAGAGAATGTTTGCAATGAAAATGGTGTTATTTTTTCTAGCAGCGGAGCAAGCTATATATAGACTTATTCGTGACCATTCGAATATCCCTCCAGAACAATCGTCACTGTTTAGACAGCCTTCAAGATTCGAACAGACATGTTAGTTTAATACCGCGTCTATTAAGTCAGTTAATGATCGACTGTTTAATTGGTTAATAGTCGATTATTTGGTCGGTTAACAGACAGCTATTTAACAAACTATCCAGACCAAAAAATTACCCGAAAATAAGCCAAAGCAACTAATTTTCATTAAGTACCCCAAGAATTTTAATATTTACAATTTGGTCCAAAAATTTAAATAAACTTTGTCTAAAAAGTTAATATAGCGCAAGGATCCACCCGCACCCAAATTGGACTGGACTCAGACACGTGCTCGTGCCGTACAAAGCTTGCCGCACGGACGGTGACCGTGGCATGCGCGTGTTGGTTTATGATCAAACCCAATAGGATATAGTTCTTCCCCTTCGGAAGACTATTGGTACCACTTGGGGTTGAAACCCAATTCCCAGAATTCCACCATATAAACCATACCAAAGTTATATAACTTTTCTATGTGGGATAAATGTTTGGCAATTCAAATTATTCACTAATTCATAGTTTCAAATGAGTTACTTTGACATTAAATATTTCATTCAATTTTAAATGATTTTTGATAAATAAATATATCACGTTCATCACCTTGCGGAGTTTCCACTAAAATTTGAGTTCAAAGTTGACCCATTTCACTACCATTTTCCAATAGTCCTCCACATGAATGAAATATGTCGGCCTTTTCCAAACAAAAACATCTAATATTTTTTTCGAAGTGAAATTGAAGAAAACTGGATCGAGATGAGTAGCCAGACTTTGAACTTTCCCTAGTAAAGACTATCGAATTTACTTAGTCAATCAGTAGCAAGTTGTTTGGAACATTCAACCGTTCATGTAAACCTATAAAATAAAAGTCACACAATTCTCTTCTAACACAATTGGTTCTCACGTTTGTGTCCATTTTGGCCTTGGACACCTCTTAGTTCATGAGTGTTTTTAGAGAATTCATCTTCATCTAATTCTCTTAGAAGCAACCCATTCTCACCCACATAGATGGTTTCTATAAAGAGTATTCTGCTATACTCCACTTGAATGAATCAAGATATAGAATCCATTAAAAGCGTAATTTAACCTATTTTGTGGTAGTTAGGCACTAACTCATCATAGAAATGTGTAAGAGTAAAAATCTTCCCAGTGCGTACTAAGTTTTTCATAGTTCAGGTATCCCATTAAACCTAGATCTTGGGATCTCCAGTCAACTAGGTTGGGTTGCCACTATGAAAACTTTGGATTATTTTATTGATTTTAGTACCATCCCCTTTGATGAACTTTTGACTTGCTCTCTTATTAAACTTTTAGTTAGCGGATCCGTAACATTCTCTTTTGATTTTACCTAATCTATAGATAGAGAGCAATTGTTTAACAGTATTGTGTCTGCGACGTATATGTTAAGATTTACTGTTATACATAGCATTCTGTGCCCTACCAATTGCTGATTGACTATCACAATGGATATATATAGCATGCACAAGTTTTATCCAACAATGAATATCTTCTAGAAAGTTTCGTAGCTATTTGGCTTCTTCTCCAACTTTGTCTAGCGCAATGAATTCAAATTTCATCATTGATCTAGCTATACATGGTTGTTTTGAAGATTTTCATAATACCGCAGCACGTCGAAGTGTAAAAACACATCCACTTGTTGACTTGGAGTAT